AGTGTAGTTGTATCGAGTTGTTCAGTTTCACGTCCCTCTGTCGAGTTCACTGACAGGATATTGCTTTGAGGAGTGGTGCGACGTTGGTCATTCCTCGCGGCTGTAGCTAAAAAAACCTAGGACGAACCAACGATATCTTAGAACGAAACGAAATAGAAACAAAAACATGGCCGGGAACAAGATGAGATGAAGTGGCGAGTGCGTGAAGCTGTTTTTAAACATATAAAATAAGTTAAGTAAATCTTGTTCTGAAAGGGGCTTTTCTGAGGCTGAAATGTTTTTAAAACGTGACGTTTCGGGCAGTTTTACTGCTCTTCTTCAGGCACCGTAGTTCAGTCCAGATCAATATATATATATATTAAAAACATTTTAGCCTCAGAAAAGTCTCGTTTAGAACAAGATTTACTTCGTCTATTTTAGATGTGAATATGAGAGGTCCCGAATGTTCTAAAACAGAGGGTACGAATTGGTGCGTTACGAGAATGACAGTATGTCGGAAACATGCGTTTCTCCTATCGCAGCACATAGAAGAGCACAACAACTCCAGTCAAAACTATCGAAATATTTTATGTACTTAAGTAAATCGTGGTTAAGCAATATCCCTTTTCACGATCAACTTTTCTTATTGGCGCTTCCTCCTATAAAGGCTTTTATTAGTTATTTAACGCAGCATGTATGCGAGGCAATTTTGGTCAATTTTGCAGTTTCCGTCCAAAATTACCTTGAATCCAAAATAAGAAAAGTTAGCAGTTTGGGGTTATCCATTCTATCCTACCTTGTGCAAAAACAACAATACGAGGGTGATTGAAGCAGTCACGTGCACGTAGACAAATTCTATGGCATACGTAACGGATGGTGACGAGCCATCTCTCAACACAGCGCTGGAAAAAAAACAGAAGTCGGATCACTATGGGAGGCTAACGTAATGGCTGATATGCTTGATTTAAGAACGAGAGGTCTGGCCACTGGGTCTGGCTCCCAAAGCATTTGGACTGGGAACAAGGCAATGTGGTTTCGTTGTAACTTGCCTAGTTCCTAAGCTTTGAAGTTTCAACGCGGTCAATCGTTTCGGGGTCACGTGGTCCGATCGCCTCGGAAATGTCACCGAAATCAATTAACTGTAAAGGCCTGGGAGAAAGCCCCACAAGAACCAGGCAACGTTGGAGCGTCTACGTGGTTCACAACATCCTCATACAGTGTCTTGATTCCACCGCTTCAGTGGATAAATGTTTGGGGATCTTTTTTATCTATGTCATGTCGTACCAAGTGTCCTAGTTTGTTGAATAAATAAGGCATATTAAATCGCCCAGGAGTCTGATATGAGAATTTAGTTCACTCCTTGTCTCACCTGAGAACGGTGATAAAACATATTATAAACATGGCATTGTAGGTGGCATAGCTGATAAATCTGCTTTCGTTGTAAACTTGGGGTACTTTTCTCACTTTAAAACTAAGCAGCATTCCCCAAGCAAGGACCAGAAAGTCGGCTGGGNGTGGTCTGATCGCCTCGGCAACGTCGCCGAAAATCAATTAACCGTAAAGGACTGGGAGAAAGCCGTACAGTAACTAGGCAACGTTGTAACGTCAAGGTGGTTGACAACACCCTCATACAGTGTCTTGATTCCATCGCTTCAGTGGATAAATGTTTGGGGATCTTTTTTTATTTATGTCATGTCGTACCAAGTGTCCTAGTCTGTTGAATAAATAAGGTACATTAAATCACCCAGGGGTCTGATATGAGAATTTAGTTCCTTGTCTCACCTGAGAACGGTGATAAAACATATAATAAACATGGCATTGTAGGTGGCATAGCTGATAAATCTGCTTTCGTTGTAAACTTGGGGTACTTTTCTCACTTTAAAACTAAGCAACATTCCCCAAGCAAGGACCAGAAAGTCGGCTGGGAAGACAACAAAATAGTAAAAAATTAGCATCAAAATTAGTCTTTGAAAGACCTAATCCACACAAGTAGAAACAGACCTTGCGTCTCCATGAGTTCTCGTAGCTAAGTGGACAGAGCGACCGCCCGGTGTTTGGGAGGTCTTGGGTTCGATTCCTGTCGGGGACTCAGATTTTTTCTTGTCCTACACTCGTGTCATGTTGATCAATTCAACTTTCGCATTTTTATTACCGAGCTTAAAATTCACCATCTTTATTCACTTAACAAGTAGAAACTTATTTCTGTTGAGTCTATTAATTGAATTTAAGTTTTCATCAAATCAAAAATCTGAGATAACACTCGTCACTCTCTTATAGATAGCTCGCCCTGGTCACACCACACCAGCAAAAGGGGGATGGGGG